GGATTAAGTTTTTTTTGTTTTGGGGGGTAGGGGGTGCATGCTAGGGATTGAGCTCCCATAGCCCCAAAGTTTATTTTAAAGGAGTGCCTGGAAAGCTCCAATTACAATGTGGAAGCTGGGCAATGTGGGGACAAGTGCATGTGTTCTTTGACAGTGAATRAACAGACACTCACACAACACCTTGAGACCACAGAGTGCCTTTGTACTGCACTGCCTTACACTCTGCTTCCTACAAYAGCTACCTTACTAGACAGAAGTAATGTGGTTTATCTGCACCCCCACCCCCACTGTGAGCCYCTGGAGGGCAGAACCTATGCCAGCCCATGTCCCCAGTGCCCAGCACAGCACTGGCCTATAAAGCAGCATGGAGCAAAGGCCTGTGCTGGCAGGAGGCAATGAGCGTGGGTGATACGTACAGGAATTCCTCTGAAGTCCACGAGAGCACCATCATTCTTGTCATGAGCCGCAGAAYGCCCAGGAGATACTCTTTTAACCTGTGAGACAGGCCAGGGTCAATCTCCTAGGACATAACAGTTCCCCAAGGACCACAGTTTAAATGCTGCACCTTTACCAAGAATCATAAAAGACATGAACTCCAGGGAACTGTCATGAAGAACTTCTATTTAATATGGTGTGAAGAAAAACTGCAGGCTGGGGAGATAGTGTGGTGGAAGAGCTCTTGCCTACTGTGGGCAAGGTCCAGGTTTGAGCCCCAATAGCATGAAGAAGAAGGAGGAGGAGGAGGAGGAGGAGGAGGAAGGGAGGGAGGGAGGGGGGGAGGAGGGGGGGGAGGAGGGGGAGGAGGAGGAAGAGGAGGAGGAGAAGAAGAAGAAGATGACGACGACGATGGCGACAGCGGCGGTGGCAGCAGTGGCTAGGTGCTGTGGTGCACACCTGTAATCCCACCAGCTTGTGAGGCTAAGGCAGAAAGATTTGAGTTCAAAGCCAGCCTCAGCAACAGCAAGGTGCTAAGCAAAATACAAAATAGGGCTGGTGATGTGGCTCAATGATTGAGTGCCTCTGAGTTTAATCCTTGGTATTAAAAAAAAAAATCAAAAAACAATAACAAAACAAAACAAAACAACCCTCAAAACTAAACTCAGCTGAAAAAGGCAAAGGATTTGGACATTTTACACAAAAGGAAACGTGTCATCCTTAAACATGAACAAATGTTCAAATTTCCGCATGAGAAAAATGCCAACTAAAACTCTAGAGATAATGCTGCAGTTGTCAGATTATCAAAGGTCAGAGTGTGAGAGCTGGAGCTCAGCGACACAGCCCTTGCATAGCATGTGGAAGGCCCTAGGTTCAGTTTCTAGCCCAGCCACTGCCCTCAAAACGAACTAACAACCAGCCAACAAAAAAGTCTGCTAAGACTGTTGGCTAGAGTGCCYACACAGGGGAGTCGATGACACTGATCAGACCACACACCACACACCTCGGCTTGGCACCTGCATTCTAGTGCCTCACGCACCAGACACTCATCCCTGTGCAAAACAACATGTACCTTGACAGTGTCACTCATTGCAGCACCGTTCATAACAGCAAGGGCCTGAAGGACCCTCAGAGTCCACCAATGCACTGATTAAGACACCTACTGCCCAGGAATCCAGTGACACATGCAAGGCTGAGAAGAAGGAGGAGGATGCCTGGTGTGGCCATCTCCATGGCTTCTCAAGGAAAGGCAGAGCARTGTGTGCAGGTCACCTCGCCACTGTCTTCATAAACCCATAAGCACCTCTGAATGACTATGTCCTGAGTTACACCCCAGGAGGCAGATAGATCCATACAAGCAGGAAAACCAAGTAGTGGGGGACAAAGATGGAAGCTAGTTTTCACTATATGTATATCCCCTGTAATATTTAGATTCGAACCACATGAATGTTTTCTCTAAATTAAAGAAAAAACAGTAATTRAAAGAAAAMAATTAACAAAGAAATCAACASTTATGTCAAGGCCCTGAAATCCTAAATTATCCTGTTACTCTWACCCTCCTGTTAATTTTTGGTAACTGGGCTGGGGATGTGGCTCAAGCCGTAGCGTGCTTGCCTGGCATGCATGCGGCCCGGGTTCGATCCTCAGCACCACATACAAAGATGTTGTGTCCACCAAAAACTAAAAAATAAATATTAAAATTCTCTCTCTCTCCCCCTCTCTTTAAAAAAAAATTTTTTTTTTTTTTTTTTTTTTGGTAACTAACACTTCTTATACACAGCTTTGACTTCTTTATGTCCTGGAAGCAAGAATGACAGCCCAGGCTTCTCACCCTTGAGACACCATGCATTCTCCCTTGAATGTTTATCTATCTTCCTAAATAAACTCGTGTCTATGCCTTTATTTTTATTTTTTTAAAGATATTTTATTAGTTATCAGTGGCCTTTTATTTATTTCTATGTGGTGCTGAGAACTGAACCCAGTGCCTCACACATGCCAGGCAAGCCACAACCCCAGCCCTATGCCTTTAATTAAAAAAAAAAAATGGCAACCCAGGCATATCACAGCTGACTAGAACCCCCTCCCCTCAAAACTGGCCTGTGTCCAATGTGTCACTGTCCAGAGCAACCCAGCCAACACACTTGCAGCAGTTGCTCTCCTGACCTTTGACCCTTGATCCGACTGGTTTTTGTGCAGAATGTACCCCACCTCTGCCTTCGGTATCCCCTCCAGCTGGGTTCTACTTCCTCAGTGGCCTGCTTCACCAACTGGGGCTACAATGGTGCCTCACTTCTCCTCTGGCCCTTGCACAGAACACAAAGTTCCCAGTAAAAGGCCCATACAGGAATCTTCTCTTACGTTTCTTTGATGCTTCCCTGCCACCCCTGCCCTCCTTTTTTTTGAATTAGGGACTGAACCCAGGGATGCTTAGCCACTGAGCTACATCTCCAGCTCTTTTTGAAACAAGACCTTACTAAGTGGATGAGGCTATCCTTGAACTTACGACCCTCCTGCCTGAGCCTCTTGAGTTGCTGTGCGCCATTGTGTCTGATCCCACACCTCTTAACACAGCACAAAGGTATGAAATATGTAACTAAATTTTTTTCTTCAAATTTTGCTTCACTTAAATAAATAAAGATTAAAAAAAAAAAAGAAATCTTGCTTCAAAAAAATTTTGTGATTCATGATGCTAAACAACTCCCTGCAGGAGTCTACATACCCAGGGTTCACCCTGTCCTTTCCCCTCTACAATCTATGTCCAGAGACCTCTTTCTGGAAGAACAGGTCATCTGTCTTCCTACAGTGGGGAAACTTTCCTAGATTTTCAAAGCAAAACTGTGTCCTTGTTCTGGCCACTGAATCCCACAAGCTAAATTGAAGACCATTTCTTCTGGAGGTAAGGTGGAAGAAAGGTACAGAATGCAGGATTCGATGTCAAGCCCAAGAAAGATACAGCACAGTGAACCAAGAGGCCTGAGGATAATCAGGCAAGTGGTGTTTGATAGGGAGGAGGACTGTAAGGTATGTCATACTGATGAGCTGCAGGACTTCTTGGGTGATTTCTCAATGAAATTTTCTCCCAACCCAAGCAAACAAAAATAAACTTTCATAAGCCACTTAGAAATCAAGTTTTCAGGAAAGGCAGATGATGCARAGGTGAACAGAATCTCCTTTTCTGGAGAGGGAACCCTGGGCCTCCTGCATACTAGTTTAGCACTCTGTCACTGATCAACACCCCAGCCCAGGATCTCCTTTAACAGGACAAAAAAGCTATGAGATTCTTTTTCCTAAGTATTTCTCAAACTTCACATTCTTTTGATATCTTGTCTTCTTMTTATTATTAACAACATATCTGTAACCGACATCTTCTTTCCCCAAAGGCATGCTTACCTGCCCGTCTTTTAATTCTTTTTCATTATAGAAAGAGCAAAATTTTTCATTCATGACTCAAAATCATTTGTTCACGCGACCTTTGTCTTGGGCTCAAAAAGGGGTTCCCGGAGGTCTGATGATGCTACAGGACAGCCAGAGGTCCGCCRGTTCTACCTTGGCCCACCTCCCTGCGCTCATTCAGACCGGGAGGAAGAAAACAGTCCCACTGTGCCATCACCAGGGCATCGCTGGTTTCTGTGAGTCCTGAAGAAGTCTCTGAGGCTATGACGCCTCGGCTCTGCAAAACACAGAAGAGAAAGCTAGCCTCTTGGTTCAGTTATGCCTCTACTGAGAAAAAAAGAGACTTAAAATCTTTAAGCAGATGTGAATTTATTCTGAATAAATGAGCTGCCGTGGCCAGAGGCAGCCTCCTACGACCCGGGCCACCGGTGGAGAGGCGGGGACAGACCTCTGCGCGCGGAGGGCGGCGACACGGCTCTGGGCTGGGGTGACTTCAGGACCTGCGGCTCTGGGGACCGGGCCAGCTAACCCGGGAGCGGAGCGCGGGCAGCCCCGGCTCTGAGCCTCAGCTTTGCYTCGTTCCCAGCACAGGTCGCGTCGGGGCTGACAAAGCCTGGTCCAGCCCCCGGGGAGGTGGACTGTCCAAAGCAGCCACGGCCAACTGCGGCACGCCCTGCACCACCGAGGTCACCTCACGGCGCCGACCTCAGGCGTGACTGGACGTCGCGGACGCCCATCGCACGGGCCCTAGGAACTCGGCTAGTCCCCTAGGCCCGCGCCGCGGGGCGGATTCGCTCCCTGGCCTGCAGGCGGCGGTACCCGGGGCRGGTCGCCCTGCCGTGCGCCACGGAGGGCCCTGGCAGGCGGCTCACGGCGCCCTCGGCCAGCCCGTCTGGTCGGGCTCGGCGTCTGCTCGCGGGCGGCGGGCCCTGGCCTCGGTCAGGGTGCGCGCCTCCCGGCCGTGCGCGGCCCCGCGGCCCGGCCTCCTTTCAGCGCCGCCCGCTCACCGGGGTCCGCGCGCCCCAAGCGGCGCCCTCGGTCTGCTCCGCGCAGGCGCACGCCGCTACGGCTGTGAGCCGCCCTTCCGGGCAAGCGGCGAGCTCGGCGCGCGGCCAGACCTGTACCGGGGGCCGGAAGTCCAACCCGCGCTGGGAGCCTGCTTCGCGTGGGCGTGGCCAGAGCCGCCTCAGTCCCGGGACCCGAGGGCGGCGCGACCGGCCCTAAAAGCTGTGCGCTTCGTTTCCGCCCAGACTTCTGTGAGCCGTCGGGATGTGGCTCTCCCTGGTGCTGCTGTTGGTGCTGCTGCTGCTCGCGGGCGTCCGCCGTGTCTACTTGGGGCTGTTCGCCGGGCGCTCCCCGAACCCCTTCTCGCAGGACGTCAAGCRGCCGCCCGCGCCCCTGGTGACCGACAAGGAGGCCAGGAAAAGGGTTCTTAAGCAAGGTCAGCCGGACCAGGGGTCCGCGCTGCGCTCGGCGGCCTCGCGACCTGGGCTGGCCTCAGTTTCCCTGTGATAAAGTTCCGGGAGGCTTCCTTGGAGTGGGGCCCGTTTTCGTGGGTGCGCGGTGATGACTTTGCCCTTGCAAGCCCGGAAGCTGCTGCCCGAGGGCTTGTCCTTGTCTTGGCACTGCCTAGGGCTTGTGATGGCCTGCAGTGCCCTGCCCTGCGTCCTTTCCCCGATTTGGCTCTCTGACCCTGTGCGGGCTCKCACAGAAACCTCTCCCCATTGCAAGAGGAAATGGCTTTTGCAGGCCAAGGGATTGGACGGGGTAGGCGTGGCCCCAGCTTATAGAACTGAGTCTGGATTCTGAACTTGGAGAGAGGCTCAACAGGGTTTCTCAGCTCTGAACCCACTGCTCTAGTCCACCAGCACCTGCATTCGTCGTGAAACTCAAGTGGGGATACCTGCAAGGTTAGAGAGAGTTTCGATGGAAAAAATAAGCAAAAAACAAAACRAACAAAAACCCCCCAAAATATTGTTTGATCTCCAACGGCGCTCTTGCTTATAGATTTTTTTTTCCCTCTGTGACCAAACTTGCTATAGTCAGACAATACTTTTTGTCTTTCTTTCCTTTGTGTGTGTGTGTATGTTCGTGTGTGTGGGAGGGTAGTRGGATTGAATTTAGGCTTTACATGCTAGGCAACTGCTGTACTACTGAGCTACATACYCAGCCCTTTGTACTTTATATGGCCTGGAACTTGTGATCCTTCTGCTTCAACCTCTTGATTAGCTGTGATTACAGTTGTGCATTGCTGTGCCTGGCGCTAGGCATGATTTTTAGATTAGATGTATATGCAAGTGCCCATTAGCACAAATTGTTCCTCTTAAGGTGTTCCCCTCTCCTTCCCAGTGTAGGGGGTGGTGCTGTGATTTCTCAGAGCAGTAGGCTCTGGGCATTACTGTCCTGCTGAGCCTCTGAATCAGGATCTGGAAGAATCACATGCAAGCCAGATGCTCTGGTGGCATTTGCAGACCCTACGACATCCGAAGGAACCCAGCTTGTGAATGGCTGGTTCCAGCCTGCCCTTTAGCATTCTCGCCATCCCCCACTCCATTTTCTTTCTTTCCTGGCTCTTGCTTCCTCAGAAGTGTCYACACTGAGGTGTATCCACCTGTTATCCTCTTTCTCTTTTTGTTTCTGTAGTTAACTGATTTCTACTTTCTTTCAAAGTTGTAAAAATCCACAGGTATGTAGTGGTTGTGGTTAAATTAGTTCAGACAATGCAAATCGCTGGCTGGTTATGAGTATTCCTAGGTGAATTTAGAAACCTTAGTCAACAGCTAAACGGCTCTAAGTTTTCTTGCAGTCCAAGCTAGAGGAGTCTTCTTTGGTTTCTCTGTCTTTGCCATTTTCCTGCCCCTGTCTGAGAAGCCCACCCTCTTCCTCCTCCCTTCTGCTGCAGTTTTCTCAGCAAGTCAAGTGCCAGAGAACCTGGATGTGGTGGTGATTGGCAGTGGCATTGGGGGCCTGGCTGCAGCTGCGATTCTGGCGAAAGCTGGCAAGCGAGTCCTGGTCTTGGAGCAGCACACCAAGGCAGGGGGCTGTTGTCATACCTTTGGCAAAAATGGCCTTGAGTTTGACACAGGTGAGGCTTSTGTGGAACAGGGCTGGGATCAGTGCTTGGGGGACACATTTCTCTGTCCTGCAGGTGCCATCTTCTTTCTGGGAACCACTTTYCTTGTCTGACAGCCATACCATCTGATGTGGTGGGTCTGCTCTGCCAYCTCTCTGCAGGAAGGAGGGGCAGCAGTTCTGGTCCATCTTTTCCCCTTCCCAAGGCTCAGTCCCATTATCCCTGAGCCACCTTGTCTTTCCACCTCCCAWCAGGGATCCATTATATTGGGCACATGGAGGAGGGCACCTTTGGCCGCTTTATCTTGGACCAGATTACTGAAGGGCAGCTGGACTGGGCTTCTCTGTCCTCRCCTTTTGACACAGTGGTACTAGACAGGCCCAGTGGCCGAAAGGAGTTCCCCATGTACAGCGGGAAGAAAGCATACATTGAAGGCCTCAAGGAGAAGTTTCCCCAGGAAAAAGATGTCATCGACAAGTACATAAAGCTGGTGAAGGTAACTTGGACTTGCTCAGGACCCAGTTCATTCCCAAGACTGATCTTCCTCATTAGTGGAGTACCTGAGCAGGGGAGTGGCTGGAGTGGGTAGCCCCAAGGGCCAGGAGGAGGGCTCATGGATGCCACTCCCACTCTGGCCTCTGGAGGGCACTTTGCTCTCCTGGCTATGCTGCCTTATAGGTGATAGATCTCTACTCCTTTTTATTTCTTCTAAGACCAGATGGGATTTCTGAAAAGGAATTTGACCAGGAAATTTATAAGCAGAAAAGCCTCATCTGAGTGTGCAGGAAGGGAATATTTAGAGTAYAGAGTCCCCCCACCCAATTCAGGCTGGGTGCAGTGGTGCATACTTATAACCCCAGCTATGGTGCTGGGGGACAGAGACAGGAGGATCCCCTGTTCAAGATCAGCCTGGGCAACTTATCAAGACCTGTCATTTGTTTATTTATATATATTTATTTATACATACATAAATACTGGGCAGAGGTACTCTACYACTGAGCTACATCCCGAGCCCTTTTTATTTTTTATTTTGAGTCCGGGTCTTGCTAAGTTTCCCAGGCTGGCCTCAAACTTGCAGTCCTCTGGCCTAAACCTCTAGAATTGCAGTGATTACAGGCATGTGCCTCACTGAGATCTTGTCTCAAAATGGAAAAGCCCTGGGGTGTAGCTCAGTGATAGAGCACCTCTGGGTTCAATCCTTAGCACTGCAAACACTCAAAAAACAAATAAAATTAAAGACTTGAAGCAGRGCATGATAGCACATGCCTGTAATCCCAGTGGCTAGGGAGACTGAGGCAGGAGGATCACTGGTTCAAAGCCAGYGTCAGCAAAAGTGAGGCACTAAGGAACTCAGCGAGACCCTAACTCTAAGAAAAATATAAAATAGGGCTGAGGATATGGTTCAGTAGTTGAGTGTCCCTGTGTTCAATTCCTGCTACCAAAAATAAATATTTTTAAAGTAAATTAAAACTAAAGTCCAAATTCAGCAATGTTCAACGAAGGGTAAGTGTTGCTGGCCCTCAGCCGGTGCAAGCTATTGGAAGGGACGGTGTGTCAACTGTCCCAGAGTAAGGCCTGTTCCCACGCTTGTCTTCTTTCCCAGGTGGTAGCCGATGGAGCCATTCACGCCATCTTGCTGAAGTTCCTCCCATTGCACGTGGCCCAGCTCCTCAGCAAGTGTGGGCTGCTGACTCGGTTCTCTCCATTCCTGCATTCGTCCACCCAGAGCCTGGCTGAGGTCCTGCAGCAGCTGGGGGCCTCCCCTGAGCTCCAGGCCGTGCTCAGCTACATTTTCCCCACCTATGGTGTGTGCTGGCTGCAGGCTGTGCTCCCTCCTTCTGGCCTCTGTCTTCTTCCTGAATCTGCCTGGCTGACAAACGGACCAGAATGGCCTGGCCCTCTGCAGCTTGTGCCGCTGTGCAAGTCCCCTTCAGCCATTCCCTGGGTGATTTTTCTGTTAGCCAAYACCAGGCTCCTGGTGTTGGTGACATGTAGTTTGCAGGCAGTACCTTCTTACTGGACCCTAGGTTGTAAGGCTCCCGGTGGGATGGAGATGGCTCCTGCGGTGGCCCTAGCCCCTAGGAGCCTTGGGTCCTGTGATGGACTCTGGTGGTGTGTTGCTCCTTTCTGAGTGGTCCTGGTACCTGTTCATAACCCTCCTCCCCTCTTCCTGCAGGTGTGACCCCCAGCCGTACCACCTTTTCCATGCATGCTCTGCTGGTCAACCACTACCTACAGGGGGCCTTTTATCCCCGAGGGGGTTCCAGTGAAATCGCCTTTCATATCATCCCTGTGATTAAGCAAGCCGGGGGCGCTGTCCTCACAAAGGCCACTGTGCAGACTGTGTTGTTGGACTCAGCTGGGAAAGCCTGTGGTGAGAGCTGTGCTGTGGGCTCCGGGGTCCCTGAGGGCAGAAGGCRCAGAGGAACCCACCTTCTGCAGGCTGAGGGGCCAGGTGTGCTGCAGAGCGTGGCGGGTAGCAGAGTGATGAGTCTGGCATGAAAARGGCCACGTGGGCTCCAAAGAGCCGTTCTGAATTATTTATTTGATAGATAAAAATATTTATCCAGTGTTCTGTGACCACCTTCTTGATTGTAGGGGCTGTCATTTTCTCTTGGTGGTACTGGGGACTGAACCCAGGGCTTTGCACCTGCTATGCAAGTGCRTTACTCTGAGCTATGTCCTTAGCCCAAGGATGTATCTTCTTTATGTTTTTGGTTTTTTTTTTTTGAGTCGAGATCTCACAGTGTTGMCTTTAGTGGGCTCAAACTTGCCATCCAGTAGCCAGGACAGCAGTTGTCTGTCTTCACATCTTCAGAACCTGCTGGGTGACTGATGGTGGGCTGCTGAGCAGCGGGTGTCAGGGTGTCGGCTGTGGGCCTAGTTCTACATAGTAGCCAAGTGAGAGGCAGAGGTGAGGCTGGACATGGAGGGACCAGATCACAAGGCTCAGAGGAGGTKTCAGTGGGGAGTGTTTAGGGCACTTGCCTCCAGCAGCAGTGAAGGGGCCTGGGAGGGGTCTTGGCCACAGGAAAGTTAATCTGCYGTGTGGAGGGAGCCAGGCAGGTCAGCACAGAAGCGACTGTGGCAGAGGTGGAATGCTTGTGGTCACCTCCCTGCCTGGCCCTCAGCAGGCTGGACTCCCATGTCTGAGGAGATGGAGTGTAGGCCAGACCTGTCGAGGTCTCCTCCTGGAGCTCACAGAGCCTCAGCCAAGCTCCTGTGCTGCAGGTGTCCGTGTGAAGAAGGGACAAGAGCTGGTGGACATCTACTGCCCCACTGTGGTCTCCAACGCAGGCCTGTTCAACACCTATGAGCACCTACTGCCGGAGAGTGCCCGCTGTCTGTCAGGTACGGCTGCTCTGCTGCTCCAGGCTCTGGCATGGACATGCTCAGCCTGGTGACGCCCCTCTCTGACTGTCTCAGCAGGTAAGTACTCTGAGCTGTAGCATCATCCCCATGTCTGTGGCTGGGGAGGTCGAGGCCCTGACAGGGGACCGACCCCCTCCCTCTGCCGCCCAGCCAAGTGCCAGAGCCGTGAGGAGCCTGGTCTCAGAGGGAGAGCCAAGCTCTGGGGCACTCCCTGCAGGGCTGGGATGTGTGGAGTGCTGAGATGGGAAGTCACGTCAGGACAGCATGTGACTTGTAGCTTGGTGTGACATAGGGAATGGAGGTTGCTGGCCAGAGGGGACAAGTCACTCAGGAGGGATGACAAAGGCCTCTGGCAGGGGCAAGAGGTGGGAAGGACAGAGCGGCCCTGACTGGCTGGGATGGAGTTCGTGGCGGTGGAGAGGGGGCTGTCCACTCTAGGGTTGTTAGGGTTGTGCTAGGGAGGCTGAGCAGTGGTTTGGCAGAACAGTGTGGTCCTGGGTCTCCTGGGGAGGGCGGGGGGGGTGATAGCTGTACTGTCTCTAAGAGTTAAAGTGGCGGGCAGCTTTCTGTCACTGTGATAAAATATCTGAGATGATCAATTTAAAAAGAGAAAAGGATCTGCTTTGCCTCATGGTTTCAGAGGCTTCATCTGTGTCAGTTGGCCCAGTTGTTTTAGGCCTGTGGTGGCACAGGATGTCACATTGTGGGGTGTGTGTGGGGGAGAACTGTCCACCTCATGGCTGCCAGGAACCAGAGAGAGAGAGAAGGCCGGGCATGGTGGTGCACACCTGCAATACTAGCAATTTGGGAGGCAAGGCAGGAGGATGGGAAGTTTGAGGCCAGCCTCAGCAATTTAGCAAGGCCCTAAGTGACTTAGTGAGACCCTGTCTCAAAACAAAATATAAAAAGGGCTGTGGAAGGGCTGGGGCTGTGGCTCAGTGGCAGCGAGCTTGCCTAGCATGTGTGAGGCATTGGGTTCGATTCTCAGCACCATAAAAATAAAATGAATAAAATAAAGTCTGTCAACATCTAAAATAATAATAATATAAAAAGGGGGGCTATGGATATATCTCGGTGATTAAACACTCCTGGCTGGGTTCAATCCCTAGTACCAGAAAACAAAAACAGTGGGAAAGGGGCTGGAGTCCCATGTATACTTCAAAGACACCCAGTGACCTAACTCCCTCTCACTGGGCCCACCTCCTCAAGGCTGAGCCACCTTCCCAGTAGCACCACATACTGGTGACCAAGCCTTGGGGGATACTTATCAAAACCACAGCAGTTGGGCATGTGATCCCAGTGGCTCTGGAGGCTGAGGCAGGAGGATAGCAGGTGAAAGCCAGCCTCAGCAATTTAGCAAGGCCCTAAGCAGCCTAGTGAGACCCTGTCTCAAAAAACAAAACAAAAAAAGTGCCAGGGAAGTGGCTGAGCACCCTTGGGTCCTAAAAACCGCCACCCACAACAGATGGGTGTCACAAGCTGGTATCTGCTGGCAGTTGTGTCTTAGGATGAATTGAGTGGGGCATGATAGGGACTGCCCAGTGCAGGGCAGCGGGGCCTGGCCTGGCTGGACAGACTGGCCTTGCCTCCTCCTCTTTTAGGACTCTGCCCTGACAGGCCCCAGGTCCCCCTGCTCCTCTCCAGGCCACCAGCCCCATAGCAGGTCTTGCCCGCATGTATCCTAGCCCTGAACAGTCCAGGGCAYACCAGCTGGCTTGGGTGCTCGGCCTCTTGGGTGCAGGGTCAGAGACTGCCCCAAATGAACCCAGTTGCCTGCACTAGGAGCTGGGTGGTGCTCCTTCTTCCCAGCTCTTTGGGGTGGGGATTTWTTGGTATGCCTTTCAGACAGGAGCCAGATATCTGGTGGCCTCTGGGGCCGGTGGGGCCAGCTAGACCAGGAGTGGAATTGCTGGACCTGGCAGCGGATCCTTCAGGGATGGGAGGGCCTTTCTTCCACCTACAGAGGCCAGGAGACACTGGGGTGGTCCAGAGGGAAGGGTCTGGCTCCTCAGCCTCTTCCTTCCAACTGGGGAGAGAGGGGCCTCTAGAGACAGGGGCTCTCCTCCATGCCTGCCTATACCCAACCTGGATATAGGAMCTAGGTGACTGCAGCTGTGGAAGCCCACGTTCTGTGTCTCCTGTGCGCCCCCAGAACTGGGTGTCCTGCCATGGCTRTCAATAGCGCCTCCCTCTGTGTCCCTGTCCTCAGCACATGGTTCCTCCARGAAAGCCTCTTCCCAGCAAATGGGCCTCCTGTCACTGCTGTGAGCCAGGGCTAGCTCCGCAGGGCCCAGTACATGTTAGGGCATCAGCCAATCCTTGTTCACGGAGGAGGCAGAGCAGCAGCGGTTGAGCTCTCACACAGCTGCTGGAGACAGGTCTGGAGGTAATGGATAAGAATTGTGGGTAAATTTTCTAAAAATTGGTCTGGGATCATCTGTTGAGAGGGGAAGCCCAGTGGTTTAGGTCTGGGGTGCCTTGCAGTTGAATGCTGAGCTAATGTTGTTTGACTTCCAATCAYATGCATGGCCTGTCATCTCGAGGCCTCGTGACAGAGCACATGGGGACTACCACTGTTTTCATTAGATGGCTGTGTTACATACTGACAGTAAGGCTGTGACAAACTACTATTTGTGTAGTCTTTGTAAGTTGTCATCTCCTCCTCACTTAGACTGAAGGGGTGATGGAGCAGTCAGATCCACTGTCCTGCAGGTGCTGCAAACCAGTGGCAGCCAAGGGCTGGGCTCAACTGAGCAGAGCTGGAGCCTGAGGCCGTGTGTGACACAGGCAGGGGCAGGTGAGCAGGCAGAAAGGCCTGGACCCTCTCCTCACTGGCAGCCGAGGAATGGGCTGCAGATGTCTGGAGCGGGGAGTGCCTGTGTCTGTATACAGTTCCACCTGCTTTGTCCGGCAGGTGTGCAGCAACAGCTTCAGATGGTGCGGCCAGGCCTGAGCATGTTCTCTGTCTTCATCTGCCTGCGCGGGACCAAGGAGGAGTTGGGTCTGCAGTCCACCAACTACTATGTTTATTTCGACATCAACATGGATAAGGCGTAAGCGTGTGCATGTGGGCATAGGGTCAGCTGGGCCGTCAACCCACGGGGACCCTGTGTTCAGTTGGGGGACAGGCATCGGCTGGGCCATCAACCCACGGGGGGGGGGGCCCTGTGTGCATGCAGAGACAGGTGTTGGCTGGGCTGTCAACCCACTGGGGCTTCCTGCCTGGACACTAGGATGAGCAGTCAATAGGCCATTCCAGTGTGCTCCTGGAAGGTTCACATGGCAATGTGCCCAKCCTCATCTCCAAGGAGGTCCTGGGGACGAGTGGAGGCTTTGAGGYGAGGCCTGGCATTGCAGCCACACTCCTCTCCCCACAGGATGGAGCGCTACATCTCCATGCCCAGGGAGAAGGCTGTGGAACACATACCCCTCTACTTTGTTGCTTCCCCTTCAAGCAAGGACCCGACCTGGCCCGGCCGCTTCCCAGGTAGGTCCATATTGTGAAGCTGCCTGGGTCAGCGGTGGGTGGGACTGCACAGCAGTAACCCTGCTGTGCATCCCTAGACCGGTCCACGCTGACTGTGCTGATACCCACCGCCTACGAGTGGTTTGAGGAGTGGCAGGAGGAGCCGCAAGGGAAGCGGAGCCACGACTATGAGACCCTCAAAAGCTCCTTTGTTGAAGCCTCCATATCCRTGATCCTTAGACTGTTCCCACAGCTGGAGGGGAAGGTAGGGTGAACATGCAGGTGGGGACCCCGCGTCCAGGAGGCAGAGCTCAGGTTGTCGGGGCTCCCACTCATGCCCTCCCTCCTGCCTTAGGTGGAGAGTGCCACGGGAGGGTCCCCACTGACCAATCAGTTCTTCCTGGCTGCTACCCGAGGGGCMACCTACGGGGCCGACCATGACCTGGACCGCCTGCACCCTTACGTGATGGCTTCCATCAGGGCCCAGAGCCCCATCCCCAACCTCTACCTGACAGGTACACTGCCCATTCTGCCAGGATCCGTGACCTTGGGCCTCCCTGGCACCCAAAGACAGGAACCTGGCCCTCCCTCTCCTCTCGTGGTGGACACTCACAGTCTGTGCTCTTGCCTCCTAGGCCAGGACATCTTCACCTGTGGGTTGATGGGGGCCCTGCAAGGGGCACTGCTGTGCAGCAGTGCCATCCTGAAGCGGAACCTATACTCAGACCTCAAGGATCTCGGCTCAAGAGTGCGGGCCCAGAAGAAGATGATGTAGTTCCTTAGGGACAATGAGTGGCCCYTGCACCTGCCCTGACCCACCTGTAATGCCTTTACTGCACTGTTAATTCTTTGCACACAGAAAGCACTAATTGCACTGATTTCTGAACACACTTCTCCAGTGGAGCTCTTCCTTAYCTCTGAGGACATATCTTTCCTCCTCAAGTGGCCAGGCTGCTGATGTGGACAGTYTGAGGCTCAGATAGGTGGTGCTGTGGTAGAAAGTCGGTCGGGACTAGGATGTGAGCAAAGCCCAGGGATGACACCTRTAGTTTGCTGGTACATATCCAAGTTGTTCATCCCCCATGCCCCCCCTTTTGATTTGGGGTATCTGTACACAATGAGATGCYTTAGGGATGGGACCTAGTTCTAAACAATTAATTTTGCAGTGCTGRTGATGGAACTCAGGGCCTTGTGTATGCCAGGCAAATGCTCTGCCACTGAGCTGYACCCCAGGTCAAAAATTGCATTCATGTTTCATATATACCTTATATACAAACCAAGAGTAATTTTATGATACTTGGAACAATTTTTTTTTTGCATTTTGACTTCTTGTCACATGAGGTCACAATGGCACTCAGAAAACTTTGTAAAATCCAAGRATTCTTGATGTCAGTAAGGGATGCTCAGCCAAAGATTAAGAAAGATACCATTTTCCCTTATTACCCGAATCACCAAGTGTCTTATTTTAGTACACTTTAATACAGAATTAATAAATGTAATGGTTTCATTGCTTTATCTGAAATTTATTTTGGTTTCCATTYAGTGACAAAACCACATTGAGATGGCATTTACAGAAGCTCATTAAAACATGTACTGAAAAATATCATTACACCAAATAAGCTTTAAAAAAATAAAATTATGTAATTAAGTTACAAAGAACTGAAAATATAAAACAGTGCTAAACCATGACAACCTATTCATTGGGCAAACAAAGGGAAACAATTTCAATAGTTGATCATGTACTTATCCCACTAGTTTATGAATTAAATGAACACCTATCAGAGTGTGAGGGCCTGGCTCTGTGGGCAGCTTGAAATACTGTGCAGCTCAGTTCCAAGCCCATTACAGAGGGGTTTCCAAGTTGGAATACTTAGAATCCACATCTGACTTGGGGAACTGCGGAGGTGAGTCACTCTTGGCTAAGTGAAGCCTCAACGTCTCTTTCCAACAWTCCTGCTTAAGCAAGGCAATGCCAAGTGCAGGCTTCCTGGCAAGGGCTTTCAGAACGGGTAAGCACAGGGCTGGTGTGTGCACGCCCGTGTGCCCAACTGGTGCATAATGTGATGGGAACAGGGACTAGAGAAGAACATGAGCATCACCACTGGGAATTTTGGAGGCAGAGTTCTATCATCAAATGTTGAAAAGACAGGGAAAAACATGTCAGTATGTGCAGCTAAGTGTCAGGTCTTTCTGAGTTGCCTCAGCCTTTCCAGAGAGCTGGGTCTTYAATGCCTGAGGACTCTAGACAGTCCAGTCCCTAATGTATAGCCCCTTCCTCCTAACAGCAAAGGAAGCCCACGGCCATCTCCACAGGGGGCCTCTTGTGGCTCCACCCCAGCCCCTGGCTTGAGACCCCTCAATAGGTCATCCCCATCCACACCAGCTTGGGAAAACATGCTTCCAATATATTCCATCTGCAAAAAGACAGCCATCCTGAAAAGGGGTGAAACTTAAGACCCAACCCATGTTTTCCCATGTCTGACTGCCCTGCCCTGTATGGTTGCCTCTTTCAGTTCCACCCTGATCTCTATGATCTAGAAAGACAGCCCTCGACACTTGCTTTTGCCTMGCACAGTGATATTCCCGGGGACTTGGGTAGTTCAGTTACTTCTTGCAGAGATGTTTCCTTTCATCTTGACACCTGTTTTTGACAGATGAGGGCTCACACAACTTTCTGGCTACTGATGGCAGTGACCTTGACATGTTGGCTTTTGAAGAGTACAGCAGGAAGAAAGGTGGTTTTGGGAAGCAGAAGGYTGGCAGCAAGCGGACACCTAAGTACTGTTGTGGAGTCCACAYAGTTTCACCTTTTGAGCGTGAGAAGAATTTCTTAGTCTGAAAGAGTATCAAGGAGCAGTGGGATTTGGTAGGTTTTAGAAAGGGAGAAAACCTTACCAAATAACAAAGATGGGAAGTTGGGTTATTYGGACACACTAAGAATAAAGGCACAGAGGCACAGGCGGGAGCTTTGGTCTGTGTGAGAGGTGGAGAGAGGAAGGTGTCAGCATGCACAGTCCTCGACACCCATGTACTACCYGACCTTCTAAGCCACAAGAGGTTCAGACAGAAGCTTCAGACCAGGCCAGAACCCTGGAGATGAGTGTTTCCAGTACTGATCKTTCTAAGATAGACAGAACCAATTGTGGTGGTCCATGGGAAAAAAAAAAAATCAGCAGAGAAGTGAAATGGGTGAATGTGTGGACAGAGGAACAAGGAAAATGGAAAGAGATCAGCTGGAGATTTAAAAGACAGGAAGCAAGAAAARTCAARTTTGTGATGTGGAGTTCATGTGATTAAAGACACTGGGCAGTTGGAGGGCAGCTCGGTRGGGATAAGAGAGGAATCCAGCTCCAGTGACACACACACAAACACCCAGCTGAATCAAGGATAAGGAGAGACAAAGTAAAGGTGAATTCTGAAAGACTTTCACAGAGACTTGGCTCTGCAGGTCCTCATCCCCACCAGCACAGAATATGGCAAAGGATGACGTCAGACATCAAGAAAGGGGAATGTCACCATGCCTGTCAGCAGCATCCGACCATCAAGAACAGGACTGAGCTCCAAGAATGAGYCACTGGATCTAGTGGCCCAACAGCAGTAGGACAGGGACTAACATGGGTTTGTGAAGGTCACCAAGGATGAGCGACAGGAGGAAGGAAGCTCAGAGGAAACTTCGTGTAGATGGCACAAGCCTTGTGCCGACATGAGAGGGAGGGGAAGCAAAGGGAAAGGGGCCAGCAGGGCACACCCAACCAGGGTCTCAAGGACAYGCAGGAGCCTGACTCCCCAAGCTGGACAAGGTGACGAAGGACCTGCACACAAGCAGCAACTCGCAGGAGAGTGCTCCTGCTCATCTCACAAGACCGCTGCCTGCCCAGAAGGGACCCTCTACTCCTGGCACACTGAGGCAGCAGGGGAAAGTACCAACATCAGGACAGCCACTGGCTGGCCTGTCACAGCACAGGACCTACTTGCACCTCCCCCCTCACACGGTCTTTGTGTGGCTCCAAGAGCAGAGATCCAACCCTCCTCAGGCTCTTGGTAACAGCATAGCAAGACTAGAGAGGACTGGAATAAAAATCCAAATAGCAGTGSCATTCAGATACTCCTCCGCTATCCTAGGGAACCTACTGGATTCCTGACAGGGRGCGCAGGGAGAACTGTACCAGCTGCCCTTGGTATCTTAGCAAAGAGATAAAAGTAATGGTCAGAGTGAAGTTTGTTTATGACTATAAACCTATTTTGTCTATTTTAGGCAACAAAGGCAAAACAAGAGTTGGTGGGAAACTTGTTCCACAAAAGTCTTTTGAAAAAAGTGTAGATGAAACCCTCCTACGTTTCGGAGCATTAAGCATGGACTGCTCTTTTCAAAAAGCTCCTATTGAGCGTGACTGAATCAAAGAACATCCTGTTTCAACAATAACTATTTATGAAAAATGATGGGAAAGTGGCTTTACTTCCAGAAWCCCCAAATTGAGCTTTGTGCTCAGTACATCCAAATATAATCACTGTCTCCAATAATATAAAGTATCAGAAAAGCGAGGGGGCTCATGTTAGATAGGTTAGACTCGCAGGCAATGAAGCACTTCTTTAATTTGCTGTTTTGGTTTGCTGCTAAAGCCTTTGAAGAGAATTAYGTGCCCTCTGCCCATCAGCATCTCACCATCTTCTACCAGGGGACATCCCCTCAAGGAGGCTTAGTAGGAAAGCCCTCCACTTGCAGAATTTCATAAGTCTGCAAAGATGAACAGTGCAGAGGGCGGTACCACGGCCAAGGCCCAACTTTACCACCAGGCCACAGCCCACRGAGGGTGGTGACAGTGCAGCCTGCAGGCCAGGCTTCCCTCTGGTCCCAGCCACATTCCCACATGCTCCCCCCACTCACACTCCGAGGAAAGGATGATGGAACATGACAGCATGAAGGGAACACAGAAGGACACACCCTGGGGAGCGTCTCAAGTCACRGTGCTTTTCTCCTCATTTCTCTTGATTCAGAAACAAATCAGCAGGGAAGACAAGGGCATGGCGGGCAGAAATCAGAGCTGAAACAGAGCAACACATTCCATGTTCACCATTTCCAAGGGGATTATCCTATCAGTAAGATTTATAGGGGCTTCAGTTCAGGGAATAATTCACAATTAACCAGGACAAACTGATTCAGCACCATACAAATAACAACTAATTAAGATAAGGGCACATCAAATGAGTCACATTAATGCATCTTTTTTTTTTGGGGGGGGGGTATTGGGGATTGAATCCAGGTGGGCTTGCTCACTAAGCCATGTCCCCAGCCCTTTCTTAATTTTTAATAAAAAAAAAAACCAAAACAACAACAAAAAAAACTATTAAGTTGCTGAAGGCTTTGTTGCTGAAGCTATTAAGTTGCTGAAGGCTTTGTTGATGAGGCTGGCCTTAAACTTGTGATCCATCTCAGCCTCCTGAGTTGCTGGGATTACAGGTGTGCATTATTGCACTGGGCTACACTTATGAGTTTTAAAGTCAGTTTGAAATAAAACATCAACTAGAAAGACACACACTTGAGGAAGGGAATCTGGAAACCCTGGCTTCTGCTTACACTCTTCTGTATTCTGAATTATTYGTGTGTATTTTTATGTGTTTGCTCTGGTACTAGGGATGGAACACAGGAGTGCTCTACCACTGAGCTATATCCCCAGGCTTTTTTTTTTTTT